GAATTTTTAAGGTTTCACTCTCTCCTTATTGGTCCATTTAGCATTTATTTTTAATTATAATATTTATTTTTAATTAAACCAAATATCTAACACATTTAGTCATAATTCATACTTGAAATCCACACTTTACTATTAAATTGTAACTTAAATTATATAACCTTTCAATTGACTAATTGTTTCCTCCATTTAACTTTAATTAACACACTATAAAATATAATTATAACTCCTCTGATTTATTTATTTTAGAATTGTAACTTACATCATATTTTATCCTATAAATACTCATTTTTACATCCTCCTCCACCATATCTGATATTCTCAATATTTTCTTTGTTTAATTTTTAATGTTCTTGCATGAGTTGAAAGCTCAATTAAGATATCATTGTAAGAGCTGGATTATATATTTGGTTAAAAATTTTGTTTTCAATTATATTTCTTCTTTATTTTATGTACTTCTTCATTTTTTCATTGTTTTTATACTATTAAATGTATAATACATATGTATAATAATATTTTATGGCTATAAGGAAATTACTTTATCGGTGGGATTCAAAAATATTGATTTCTGACCATCGCACCATAAGAAAATCAAGCTAAATAAACCATTTTCATTGTTTTACTTTATATGTTTTTTTCTTTCTCACATATTCATGTATATTTATTTTATTTTCAAAGTATGTAATTATTTTAACAAAATATGTTTTTGTTATATTCAAACCAATTTGTAAGACATTGAAAGAAATAAAATTTTATACACAAATAAAGGTAATTTTTGTGTATATTTATAAGTTTACACACATATTTGGATAAATTTCAACATTTTTAGTGGTTGTTTTGATAAAGTTTGAAAAGAGGGTAAATTTAAAAAGTGGTATTTTTTAAATTCTCCCAATATCATTCCTATTTTTATTATTAAAAATATTATTGTTTTATCAAAAAAAATACTTAAAAGTACTAAAGAAAATTACTATCAGAATTGATTAATTGAACAATTAATCAACGAATAAATTCAAAAGATATGGATGTATGCTTCTATTGTATGATTTAAATAAATAACATATAAAAATGTCATAAGCATTAAAATTTATTTAATCTATTTATTATAAGTAATAAATAAATTAAAATAATTAAATAAATATACAACAACCCGTGCATATGCGCGGGACATTACCTAGTTAATAATATGTTATAGTTTTTTTAAATTAATTGAATTGCATAAATTAATATTTGAAATTCCTATTATTAATAACTATTATTAAATTATGAGTTTGATCTAAGACAACCAAAAACTCGTTGTTAGTCCACTAGTCCTTCAGATGGCCAAACTCTGCACTTGGTTTTGATATAGATCTATTGTCAGACCAAACGTTCTATCTCAATGGTTCACTGTTCTTTCATTGTAGCCAGTGTCACTAAATATGATAGAGAGATGATAATTCATGGATTGCTTTTCAAGGTCAAGTCATATGGCAAGATTTTTTGTCGTTGAATATCTACACAAACTATTTTCGTCGCCCCATTAGATCTCTGATCGATAAAAATAAAAAGAAAATTAAGATAAAATTCAAGAAAGAAAGAAAATATTTGTACATAATTAGCTATCAAACAAGAGATATTCACAAATATGTATAGTCAATCCCGAATATGGTAACAAACATGTTGAACTATATAGTCAAAAGTTATTATGACAAAAATATGTTGAACTATGGTTCAAATGTTGTGATTATTGGTTTGGAAGTTGAGATTTGGTACTACGAGTTTGATCATTGTAGCAAATATTTTCCAACTTGTCATTTTTGTTTTTCCACATTCTAAACTGATAGATCTAATTGTTTGTTTTCCAATTGATTGTGTTAGGCCAATAATTTATCATATACAAAAAAATAATTATGTTGAGAAATACTTTGAGATAAAAAAAAATTAGCAAACATTTCTTGGAATTCTTAATGGTAATATATAACAACTATTTCACTAAAAAGATCGTTAAATATTTTGCTTAATAACATATGTATAGTATAGTAAAAAAAAAGTATAATGATTTATAAAAAAAACAATTTCCAATTGGTAATACACGTAATAGTTCATTATAGGCCTAATAGTTCATTCATTCTGCAAAATATATCTAATTAATATATATTTCAAAATATTTTTATCATGCAAATTTTTCTTTTCCTATTTATTTTACGAGTTTTTATTATATAATTTATTATATTATGTGATTATGCATAGTTACCCGAGCTAATATAAAAATACATCACCGTATTGAAGCAATATTTTTCAAAAACATATTACTTATTCATGATTTAATTGAAACTATGTAAATAGATAGATTAAAAAACTATGTAAATAGATTAAAAAAAAAACATATCGTCTCATCTATTTTACAAGTAAGTAAATAATTACCAATTTTGACAAAAAAAAAAAAAAAAGAGAAAAAAACATAACTCCACAAGACCACAACCTGGGTCCCCCACCTCATAGAAGTATGTCTTTATCTACACTTTTTGTCCTTTGTTTCCTCTCTCTCTCTCTCTCTCCCCCACTCCTCTCTCTCCCCTTCTTCTTCTTCTTCTTCCCCTGTTCCTTCCTTCTCATGTCTTCCTCCTCCTCCTCTTCCAACAACGGTGACCCCGGCTCCGGTGATACCCGCGGCGTTTTCGACGCCCCTTCCCCTTCTCGCCCTCGCCGTGGCGCCAACGACGTATGGCCGGAACCTTTTCTTGAATCCCTAGCCGTTCAAGTCGCCGTCGACGCTTCCTCTTCCTCTGGTCTCCTCTCCGCAGCTCCAGCTCTCGCCAACGTGTTTCGGGTCAGTTCTCACGTTTCTTTCAATACCCTTCTTGTAACGGTCGAGTCAATTTTTCATAATTATTATATGCTTTATAACTAGATCTCTCTCACTATACTACGTACGTTACACCTATCTGAATTCGTTTAGTAAAGACTTATATATATTTTGAGTTTGAATGTTTATATAGTGAGACATATATATAGAGATCTTCTTATTATGCAAAGACAAAAACAACCAAAGTCAAAAGTGGTCGTGGGTCTATATTAACTTAAGTGGAGGGACACAATCTTGGTCTAGTCAAAATGTGTACTAGTATACTTCCTTACTTGTTTGTTTCAAAGTCTCTTGTACTTTAGTTGTTCCTAAACCTTAGATTTGATTCTTTTTTGGGATATATTATATAATTTCAATTCTTATAGATATTAGATCATAATTAAGTGATAAAACTGAATGTGAAAGTAGTGTTCATGGGTGGGGATTGTGAAGAGACAGATTAATCAAAATGAAATTAGTGTTTTAAAGTCTCTTGTACTTTAGTTTTTCCTAAGCTTAGATTTTGATTCTTTATGGTCAATTCTTTGAAATTTAAATCATGATTTATTGATGAATGTGAAAGATTTGTTTAATCAAAATGAAATTAGAATAAAAAGAGAAGAAAAATATATAAACTGACCTTTGGAAAGGTAACCGCCCTTTCTGTGGTTTACATGTATGATGGGTCCAAGTCCAACTTTTATGTCTAACAAGACGACATTAATTTGATGTCTCTTTCACAATATCATATAGTTTTGGGACTTTGTTTTTTATTTTAGAAACTTTTTGTCTTTGCGTTTTTCATTTTTTGTTACCCAATAAGTTTATTTCTTTTTCCTTTGTTCTTTCTTCCACTTTTGATACCTTTTAATGTCTATTTTTGGATCCTACAAGGAGACCATACAACCCCATTTTGTTTCTGTAATCTTTTTGTGAAAAAAATAATTGGGATATGTAAAAATTACTATAACATGGAATTGGATCCCCTTAGGGCACAAAATCAAGGTTTAATATAATTTTTGTTTTGGCTTTTAAATCTCTCTTTCTTGGCATGTAGAAATCTACTTTTTTGACTCAAAAGTTCTTACAAACAATAATCAAATTTAAAAAAACACTTTGTTGATAGACATTAGGCACAGTCTTTTATACATTTAATATATATATATTTTTAAAATAACGGTATTTTTTTTTTCTGAAAGTTAAAATAAAAAAATATCTATTAGAAAGTGACCTCTCACGACGACAGGGCTCATAAAATTAGAAAATGTCGTTGAACATTTAAAGAACATCTAAAAAGAGAATGAAAAAGAAACCTAAGTAAGGGTTCTGTCTTTTTGCCTTGCCAATGTTAGTCTTATATTACCACATTAGGTTATTTTCTCTACCACATATATGTGTAAAACTCTATTTATCAACATATAACATGATCCATGTTTTATATACATCATCCCATTCTCATATTATTCTTTTTTAACAATCATTTATCAATATTGCTGTTTTCTCTTTTCTTCTTCCAAAATCAAAAATATATAACTTTTTATTTTTTCTCATAATATATAGTAACGAGGAATAGTATATAAGTACATATGTACATTTTTTGCGTCCTGCTTTTATTATTTGCTTCTCTGCCAATATATATTATGATCCAGTGAGTAATGCATGCAGAGCTTCTGACAACTTCTCATTCTCTCTTTTTTCTCTCTCTGTATTCATGTTAAATTCTAAAAATCTTTTAATAATTTCAATATTGTTTTCTAAATAAAAATTGAACTTTCAACAATTTTGCCCTAAAATATATATATTAGCATTTTTTTGAAGAAAACTACAGTGTGGTTTTACTTACAGCATAACACTTTTGTCAGAGAATTAAGACTATAAACATAGAGTTTTTTTCACTTTGAAATTGATCATGGATTCATCTTTTTATTTTTAACAAAAAAAAAAACTTTTCTCCAGTCAAAAGACATGACAGTATGGGGCACTATACCATACAAGCTTAAAAGCACATGGAACCCAATGTTAAGTAAGGGTCTCCTTAAGACTCTTTAGTGCACGTGGACGTGGTGTCACTAGATTATACCATGTTCTTGCATTTTTCGAACATTTATATACAAAAGTGATATTCTGAATCTTGTCATCTTACACGACTCAGGAATATTTGAACTTACTTTCTTTTCGTGCTTTTATATAATCCTAATACCATGTGATTCTTTATTTTGATTGGTAATTTGGAGTATAAAACAGTTTTGATTTGCCATCTCAACATATTTTACTTAATGCATATGATCTCCATATGTGAGACCTTTGCTCCAATTGAGATAAACTTATAGAAAAGTTGAGTTCTAATATGATACATTTTGTGCCCTAGATTATTGTTGTCTTACTCTTACCTGTATTTTTACTGACTTATAGACACAATACACGTTTTCTATTTAAATAAAGTTAGAAATATTTGTTCCTTTTAGAGTTTTTGGAATAACTATAAACATAAATATAGAGAACGTAGGTCCACGGATGGTGGGAGAGAGATGTATAGAGAAATCAAAATGTACTTACTTCTTTAGCTAGCTATATATATATATATGTATATTTTGTATAAGTGTAATATATATATATTTTGTGGTATATATGGGAAGCTCTACTTTTAACAAGACAAAGGCTTAAAGCTATCCTTTCTTGGAAATGAAAGAGAGAAGAGAGCACGCTTGTTGGCAAAGTCGTATTCTCCATGTTCAGCTCATGAGCTGAGCTCTCAACAACTCATTTAAAGTCTTCTCTCATCTCTCATCTGTTCTCTATAATAAATTAACAAAACCAATCTCTCTTTTGTATTATTATTGTCACATTGATTTGTTTTGACATGGGACTAGAGACTACTATACCTAGCTAAAGAAGCTAGGGCTTTATCCCTCTCTTCGTTTATTCCTTTTACACACTAGGGCTTCTGTTTTTAAATCTCTCTGTAGCTTTTTTCAGAGATTGATTAGTCCCGTCAATTGAACATATGTCATAAAATAGATTTTTTTACTTTTTTTTTTCTTTTTAAGTGAGTTGTGTTTTCGATGAGTAAGACAAATATACGACAGAGCTTGTGTCTGAGTCTGTCGTTGTCTTTCCATCTTCCTAGTCCCTATATAGAGTCTTTCATGCTTCGTTGCAGGCCTACTTATCTTCTTTCTATGTCCTCTTATTTTATTACTTCTCTTACACTTTTTTAATTTATCTTCTAATATTACTATTTTGTTACACTTATTACAATCTTGATAATCTTTCTTAATAATCTTGATAATCTTTCTTAATAATCTTGATTATGTGTGTTTTGTCTTGATCGCAGGTTTGCACTACGTGGCAAGCTGTTTCTCGTTCCGACCATCTATGGCAACTACTCTGTCGTCAAGTTTGGGCTAGAACACATCTGATGCACGACACGTGGCGGGATGAGTTCATTTACCGTCATCGGACGGCTAGAAACTTCCGGACGCGTACTCATACTTACTTCACGCTTCAGTTTGATCCGTCTGATGTGGACGAGCCAGACAGTCTCTTATGCCGTTGTCTCACTCTCTCCGACCTTTACTTAGCCGCGGGGTTCGCCGACGGAACTGTCCGGCTCTTTCTCTTGAACAACCGTCTCCACGTAAGGACACTACGGCCGCCTCTACGTGACCGGTTCGGGAGATTCTCACGAGCCGTCTCAGGCATTGTTATATCAAACTCGAGACTCACGTTCGCTACAATGGATGGAGATATCCACGTGGCGGAAATAGACGGTGTTGGTCACACACGCACGGCTTACGCTGGAGATATAGTAAACGACGGTGCATTAGTTGATTTCGCCGGCTGTGGACGTTGGTGGGTCGGTCTTTTCGCCGGTGTACCTGGTCGTGCCTTTCACATATGGGACTGTAACAGCGAAGAGACAACGTTCGTTGGAGGCTCCCTCACCGACCCTGAAGCCGTCATGGGATGGCACACGTTAACAGAGCTGACAACATCACTTGGCCGTATAAGAATCTCCGGTAACGAAACCGCGGTAGCATGCACGAGGTGGAGAACGATGGTGATAGATCTAAGAAACCAAGGAGTGATCATAGGAGAAGACGAAGAGCAACGTAGAGGACTAACAGTGACAGGGTTCGACGCAAACGAACAAGTGTACGTTAGAATGGACAGTAGAGGAAACGCTAACGTGCGCAGGGTGAACACACAAGAAACGGTGTGCGAGTTTCGTGTAAGTGGAGCGGCGCAGAGAAGAGTAATGGGGTGTGTGAATAGACTAAACGCACTAATGTGCGCAGGAGGTGTAATGCGCGTGTGGGAGGTAGAGAGAGGAGAGTATCTGTATAGTGTTAGGGAGAGAGTAGGAGAAGTTGAAGCCATTGTTGCAGATGAAAGACATGTGGCGGTTGCTTCATCTTCATCAACGGCTCAGAGTGTTATACATCTTTGGGATTTCGGTGCACTGTAGCGTACCAGATGATTTTTATAAATAACTTGGGGAAAAAGATTTTTAATTAGAAAAAGCGAAACCCTAAACCTAGGTGTATATGTAGGGTTTCTGAATTTATATTAAATTGGGAAAGTGACGGAGGGAGAGAGGTGAAGATTGTGACAGGAGGGAGAGAGATTGATTCCTTCTTCTTACAGAGTTTGACCATAAAAAAAAGTATGTTACTGTTTTTGTCTAAAACCAAACAAAGTGGACTTTTTGTTTATTATTATTGATTGCTTCTTTGTGTTTTTTTTTTTTTTTCATTTTGTTTTTAGGTCTTTTTATATATCTCTCAATTCTGACTTTGTACGAGATGTAGCTTTCTTCTTCTTCTTGTAATTCTTCATTTTTAACTAATTTTTTTTCTTGAGTTTATTCTATTTTGTGTAATAATTTTAAAATACTAAGAAACATTGATCAAAAATCGAAAGAAGGTTGTATGAAAATAAGAATGATAAGATCTAGAGTTTAGGATTGTTTGTTGTAATCTAAGGATGTGATTTGTAGCTCATGCATCCCAAATTTTCAGGATACATGATCTGAATTGCTATGTGATCAATTTGATATGATACCTCATTTATTTGTCTTTTTACACAAAATTCATGACTACATGAAAAATGATTTTATCAATACCAAATAGTTCGTGTAACAATAAAATTATATCTAGTAACTATTTTTTTACATATTTTGTGACTATTGTTTTATAACATTAAAGTTTAATCACGGTACACCATCGAACGATATCTTTAAGTTATATTTGTTTATTAATTCTATTTGGTATTTTTTATTGTACTATTGTATTTTGATTGTTAATTGTATGATTTAATATGTGGAATATTGCATAACAATTATTTTTTATATAATCGGAATTTAATCAACTTAATTAAATAAGTCTAATATTCAAAATAATGAAATGATGTTGGCATAACATTTTTCTTTTAAATAGTCTAAATTTAGATTAAAATATTTTGTGAATTATACTATAATAGAAGACCTGTTAAAAATATATAATCATATTTATGTAAATTCTAACCCACTCCATTACATGATACGTGGTACACTATTACCAATAATACTTTAGTTTAAATATTTTATAAAGTTAAAATATTAATAACACTTAAACTTTTCATAATGTGTTTGAATATTATTTTAAACTTTCTTAGAGTGAAGTATTAATAATACGTAAACATTTTGTAGAGTTTAAATATTTGGAATATTTTAAACATTGTATAAAGGTTTAATATTTATAATATTTGAGCCTTTTAAATTTTTTAATATTTTATAAAAACTCAAATAGATAACCGGATTAAACCGACTAAAAATTTTTAGATTTAGACTCTTGTGAAATTGAGTTTTTTGTTCATTCGTAATTGGAAGCATATTAGTCATATTTATAATAGTCATGAACCATTGTCTAAACCTTTGTTTCCGATATAGAACGTTGAAATAAACACAATTTTTATCGATTGAGAAATATATGTCCGTTAAAAATGATAAAATGCCTCAATTGTTGTAGCCGAGTAATCATAGGTACTAATTTTTCTTCACACCCACCACAAACATTTTCATACAAATATATATTTTGTATCTCCCTTTTCAAGTTGATAAAACTAAATAGAGATTTTTCCATAGGGAGTTTGAAAATTACAAACATAAGCTCGCAGAAAGCAAATATCTCTAGAGTCTAAAACCGGTGAAAGATACAATATCCCCAGAATCTAAGACTATCTCCAACGCAAGTTTCATAGAGGGATTCATAGGAGAAAACAGATTAAAAATAAACGAGAATGAATTAAAAAAGATGAAAGATGAAAGAGAAAACCTCTAAGAGTATCTCCAACAAAACTGTTTACAAAAAGAATGAAAAATATTAAAAACATAAGAGAGAGAAAGTGCACAGACTCTAAGACCAAGTGCATCAGCGTCACTTGGCTCCGTCCCCCACCAATTTTATTTAAAAATAAATCCAAAAGAAAAAAATCAGAGAGGGACGTACCCAATATCGCGACGGTCCTTGGTCTTCAATTTCACTATTCGCGGTCCTCACTGACATGTGGTGACCCGTGATTAGTTACCTTTAAAAAAAAATCTAAAAAAAAAAAAATTTAGTGGGCCAAAAATGGTCTTTTATCGATGTACATGCCCTAAAAGTTCAATATTAACATCGTCTCTTCCACTCTTAAGCTACCGTCCCTTGCACTATTTGTACAACTGGACATTTGTGAGTGGTCAAAAAACTAAAATAATTATTGTTTAATTAAAATATGATTATAAATTTTTGTTTTAGAATCTCATACAAGTTCACGGTTGGTGATGCTCTAAAACCCTATGAAAGAGTCTAAATCCTATAAAAGGGAAGTTAACCACTGTAACTACAAAGGCTAAAGAGATAAAAGATAATCCCATTACAAAACATATCAAAAAGAACAACTCGACAAAGGAGGATTAAACTCCTAACAAGGAATGCTAACTTCAACAGATCATTTGCTAGTACATATTGAAGATGCCCTCGGCCAAACCTCTATAATCAAATTCTTCCTCTAAGAAATCGTCTAAAAGTAACAGAACTCCTATGGTAACCGTCATAATACGCAAAAATAGAACCCCTCATAGTTCTTCACACTTTCTTCCGGATACGACGACGTCGAATGTAGGACGACTTTTTGCACCTAGGTAGAAGCAAAACCATAGGATCAAATCTGGATCAGATATCAAAAGCAAAGACATGGAGCAAAAAATCCAAAATCGGTACCACCTTTCTCGAATAAACAAGGACAGCGGAAGATCGAATAGGAATGAACCCAAAGAAATCTCTTAAGGACACAAAAGAACTTAAATGGATGACATCCACCACGGCCCGGCCCAAATGGGGTAGGCAAAAGGGCCACGGCCCAAGGGACCATGAAGTTTTTCAAAATTTTACATATGGCCCAAATATTTTAGAATATGTAAAATAAGCCCGAAATTTTTAGTAAAAGGGCCCAACATTTTCTAAAGACTATTAATTTTACTTCAAAAGACCCATATATTTTTTTTAAGTTGTCTAACAGATTATAATTTTACTAAAGAAGACCTAAAATTTAACTTCAAATTAAAAAAAATCTCAAACAAAAAAATTTAATTAAAAAATGTCCAAAATATTTTTTTTTTTGCCAAGGGACCAGAATTATTTTGAGCCGGGGCTGGCTGAGAATTCTTTCGTAAACAACAAGCATAAAAAGGAACCCTAACTTCTATCCAAAACAGTCACACACTCACACACAACCCGATACCTAATCAACTATTACCAGGAAGATATTGCCTTTTCCCATCTCATGTTGCTAGTACATATCGAAGATGCCCTCTGCCAAACCTCGGTAATCAAATTCTTCCTCTAAGAAACTGCTCAACAGTAACATAACTCCAACGGTAACCTTCATAATCCGCAAAGATAGAACCGCTAAAAATTCTTCATACTTTCTCCCGGTTACGACGACGTCGAATGCAAGACGACTTTTTGCACCTAGGTAGAAGCAAAACCATAGGACCAAATCTCAATCAAATCTGAAAAACAGAGACATGGAGCAAAAAATCCAAACTGGGTACCACCTTTCTCAAATAAACAAGGACATCAGAAGATCGAACCATAATGAACCCAAAGAAATCTTTAAAGGACACAAAAGAACTTGTAAGGATGACAATCACCACGCTGAGAATTCTTTCGTCAACAGCAAACATAAATGGGAACCCCAACTTCTATCCAAAACATTAAGAGACAATACGATACCTTATCAACTAATACCATGAAGATATTGCCTTTTCTACATCTCATACCGTAAGAGAAGAAGAAAAAGTAAACAACACAAACTCGGAAACTGTCACAGCCTACGAATGAAACAACCTAAAGAGTTTCCATCTAACCTTAGCAAAACTGCAAAGAAATAGAGCTGGAGAATCGGTTTACCTCCTAGCAAAACATGAACTTTAAAGATGTCACAGCCTTAAGCCTACTAATGAAACAACCTAAAGCGATTCCATCCAACTAACAAGAGTTTCATAAGGCATTTCTTGTGGACGAACATAAAAAAAAATATAACGCAATAAAAAAAACAAAAAACGTAGAATCTTATAAAAGTCTTAAGACAATTTACATAATAACAATTGTAGGGTAAAATTATGAAAAAAAGATAGAGAACAACTTAATAGAGATAGACAGCAGAAGGCAAGCAGCAAGAGTAGAAGCTTCATTTGCAGAACCAAAAAGATCAATTGTTTTGCTGCTGAAGATTAAAGATGATTTCCATTAATATGTATATCTAACATTCTTCACTTTTGTGAAAAATTGACCATTAACAAGACATCTCGATTCTCGAATGACAATGCTGAAAAGGAGCTTCATGATCTGATTCAATGGCAATCTCAGTGATAACCTCCGAGACGTGAGTTTCAGAATTGCACTCACCGAGTTTCATTAGAGAAGTTTTGACGAATCTACCAAGCACATAGATCGGTTGAACTCGGGGTGGTGGCTCAATTAGTTATGAATCCTAGACAGATTAAGCAGTATTGGTTTTAAATATCTTTCAGGAGATCAAATCTTCCAACGGTCTTTCAGTTTATTAGAAGTTTCTACTAGAAAAACTAGTAAACAGAGACAACCAATATTGTTACAAACTTAGTCACTTTGGCTACAAGCTTCAGAATGCAAGTTTTCACATTAATCAAAGATTAAGGTAACACAAAGATTCAACAGCTCAACAAGCCTAATAAAATGATTCAATGTAGACAAATCCAACTATTATAAAGGTCAAAAGAAGTTTAAAAAAAAAACCCAAAAGACACAATGCTCATGAGTAGACATCATCATCGATCATCAACGGTACTGCAAAGAAACAAAACAAAACAAAAATGAAACTCATAAATCTTTCCTAAGAGAATGATCAACACACAGTAACTTGTATCATCATCATCATCAACATATTATTATTTTACCTTAATGAATCCGATTTCCTTAGCGTTGCTTCTGAAGCACTGTCTACAACAGTTGAGACCATACTTACGGATTAGCCCGTGAGAGTTTCCACACACACGGCTACACACAAATCCAAAGCTTATCATTAGATTCTATTTTGTTTCAGACAAAACATTATACATCATTTATGCAGTGATTCAGACAAAAGTTTGGTCCTTTTAGAATAATAATGGGAATTTTTAAACTATGCTTTTCAAAGCTAATCAAGAAAACGATTTAACAACATCTTTATAAATTAGCTTAGAACAAGATTCTAAATGCTCTGCTTTACCAACATAAAACTCCACAGTATCTTAATGAAAAAATTTCAAGAATCAAAAATGTTTCAGACAAAACATTATACATCATTATGCAGTGATTCAGACAAATGTTTGGTCCTAAGTTAATCTAGAATAAGATCTGTATAAATTAGCTTAGAACAAGATTAAACATGCTCTGTGTTACCAACCTAAACTCCACAGTATCTTAAAGAAAAAATTTCAAGAATCAAAAAAGTTTCAGATAATTAATAAGAATCAGATACAGAGGAAACATTTCTTTATTACCAGGTGCGAGAGCCAGGACCATATTTCTTGGGATGCGAGTTCCAGACGTTGGAGTGACCCATGACTGCTCTCTGCTCACAGCTCAAAGCTAATTTGTGTTGAAGAAGACGAACGTTGTGCGGCGAGAGCGAGGAGATTAATATTATGATTTATGACCAAAGATTTTGTAAACCCTAGTTTCGTTAAAAGTATGTATGGGCCTTATATGTATGGGTATGGGCCTTAAATGTATGGGTCTTATATGTATGGGCCAAATCAAATGGCCTATCTAGACGTCTAGCCCATTCTCAAATCATTCTCTCTTTTTTTTTTTTTTTTTCTTTGTAGATAAATAAATACTAGACATTTATTACTGTAATGGTTACACAATGAGTAAAGAACTCAACTTTATTTAAATGATATTCCGAAAATCAAAACTCACAATATAAACATAAAATGATCAAAATCATTATCATAAACAAATAATAATATAACATTGTTATAGGGATTCTCTTAAATACCATTAAAATAGGATTTTTCCAAAAATACTATTATGAAGTTTATTTTCCAAAAATACCACAAAATTAAAACTTAAAATTTTAATATTAAAAACTAATTTCTAAATCGTAAACATTAAACCCTACCCTTAAAAACTATACCCTAAATGTAAATAGTCAATCCAAACATAAAAAAATATAGGAGGAATTTCAAAAATACTCCTTTTCCAATACCACTTTTTAAAAGTGTATCTCTTTCTAATTTTATCAAAAATTCACAATAAAATTTGAAATTTATCAAAAAATTATGTATAAACTTATATTTATAGACACAAATTATCTTTACATGTGTGTAAATTTATATATATATTTTATAAGTATCGTATAAATATCTTTTAAAAATCATATAAACAGCTTATAAAAATTGTGTAAACCTTTTAAAAACCTTTCAAAAACCTTATAAATACCGTTTAGAACCTTTTAAAACCTTTTAAAACCTTCTAAATATTTGGATTTAGTCTCCCAGTAGTAATGATGATCTTGATGTACCTTATCAACCATATAAAAGTTTATAATTTTTCATATTTGAAAATGGGTGTTTTTGAAAATGAATAGAAAAGATGGGTATTTTTAAAAAGGGGTACACCAAAAGGGGTATTTCTCAAAAATTCTCAAGAATATATTCTACATCTACAAAATTCAAATTTTTATGTTTATGCTATTTTTGGAAAAATAAAACTTTTGTGATATTTTTGGAAGAAAAACTTAAATCATACTTATTTTTGGAAGAAAAACTTAAATCATGCTATTTTAAGGAATTTCTCTATTGTTATTACCTCGATGATATCAGAAAGATGAACAGTAAAAGGCTTTAGAAGTTGAAGGATTCGACTCGGTCATTTGGCAAAAGAACGCTCCAAGGAGGATTAGATATCTCCACTGATACAAAGTTGTGTTTTGCTCTAGGACAAACAAAAAGAAAAGTAGCTACAAATGAAAAAACGGCTGCAAGATCCAATAAGCTCTATCATCGGTTATAAAGAATTGAGTTCATATTATATTTGATATGTTATTAGATTTTTGCTCTATCATTGATTTAATATGTGAGTTTGTTTAGGTGGGTTTTAAAAACTATAGAGTTTTGATAGATATTTTGTTTGTAATTTTAAGTCTACTGTCCAGTCAACTATGTTACCAAAATGTACTTATCTCTTTAGTCAAAGGTCATGGAACTCCACAATTAAGTGTGTTTATGCTGGAGTAGTCAAGGGATCAGATGAATGACTTTCTGGGAAGTGGTTGTCGGAACTACGTGAGTAGGGTCAAACACAGAAAAAGATCATGTGGTGATTTGTAGGATCCGTAAACAAGTCTTTTAAGTTTCCGAACGTAGCAAACCGGCCGTCAGATATGGGTGGGTTCACGGGCCTAGTGAAACAACATGAGACCCATTAAGAGAGGTAGGCAGGCCCGTAGGCTAAAAGTGAACATGGGGCCCACTAGAGAGGTGACAATAATGGTGCGCAATGAAGATGTTGCTGTCTGTTAGTGGGGGAGAATTGTGAGATCCTAGTTTGCGAATAGGCTTAAATGAATTGATTTGGCAATTCACTAAAGTGCACTTACATTTTCAGTCAAATGTGCTTATGTTGGAGTAGAAATGGGCAACATACCGAAAAATGGTTATCAGAACTGTGTAAATGAGACCAAAACATATGCAAAACTGACTGTCTAATATGGGTGGCTCACGGACCTAGTGAAAGGATGTGAGGCCTATTAAGAAAGGTGAACTTATGGACTGAGAGTGAACATGGACTCACTGTAAAAGGTGATGATCGAGGCGTTACACGTCTTCCCTATACATATTGTCTATTTTGTGCGGCGATATGACGAAGAACCAAAATAACAAACCGGTGAATGAGTAAAAAAGCGGTAAAGAAGAAACGATGAAGAAAAAACGAATAACCGATCAGTTTCTGCTAGCCGAACCAAAGCGAATTCCAAAATAATTCTGTAAATCGGTTCGAACTTCCTCTCATCTAGGCATGACCAAAAGCTAACCTTAACCGTATTTTTAACCGTAACCGGACCGTTTATCAACCGTAACCGAACCGTAACCGTATAAAACGGTTAAAAATTGTAACCGTTAACCGTAAAAGTAAATTAGTTACGGTTAAAAAATAATAATAACCGTAACCGTTAATTAACCGTAACCATAATTAACCATAATTAATCGTCGGTTAACCGTACGGTTAAACGCTCGGTTAACCGCATATTTAAAATTTTAAAATAAATTATATTATAACTGTATACAATACCCAGATTTAACTAATTCACTATGAATAATTGAAATCAGATATATTTTTTACTTGTAAAATAAATAATATTTCATAAAATTTTATCTCCAATATTAATATTATAATAATCATCAAATAACCGTAACCGTATTTAACCGTAACCGTAATTAACCGTAACCGTATATAACCGTAACCGTCTTAACCGTATATATAATGATTAAGGTTATGGTTAAAAAATTATAACCGTTAACCGGTGGTTAATTAACCATAACCGCATTAACCGTAACCGTGGTCATGCCTACTTTCATCATTGGTGCTAATAACCGAAATGTCGGTTTTTTCGGTTATCACCGAGTGCCCAAGGTTACAAAAACAGTTATCTAGCTTGGGGATATCATGTAGCACAATAAAACTCAACTATAACTAACCACCATAAACTGATCCTAGTCCTACATTGCCTTAACATCTTGTTGGCGCAAATTTGTACGGACACTGGCGGGAGACTATATTTCATGTTTTCAAGTTTTGCCTCCATTACTTATGTTTCATTAACAATTACATGTATTATTATCACATTAATTTATGGAATAGAAAGAATATTAGATTTATAAAATTAAAAATAATATATATATATAAAAAGCGTACTGCTCATTACAGTGCACGATAGCATGAAGTAGTACTATTAGCAAATTAGCATCGTTTACTTTCACTGGTGAATAAATTTACTTAATACCAAAATATATATCATAAATAATAAAACCAACCAAAAAAAAACCAAAATCCAATTTTTATTAATCGTTAATTTTCCCCTAAATTTTCGATTTCCGATCTCCGGCCAAATCTCGATTTTTCCGCCGGCAAATTCCAATTCGCGGTGTGGGTTTGTGTGTTTGAATCGATGAGTGTTGAAGAAACAAGCTTTTCACTTTCATCTTGAAAAAAACCCTAAATTTTAGTTTGCTAGATCCACAAATCTTGTTTTTGAGTTTGATCTGTTCTTAGCTCTGGAAGAAGAGTTTGCAGCATTGTTACCATTTCTACGCAAAGACCCAGTAAGATCGCTTCTTGTATATCTCTCTCTCTCTCTTTTTTGGAAAAGATGAATTTGGTTTTTGTGGGTTTTGAGAAATTAGCGAATCTACAAGTAAAGGGCTTTTAATGTTTAATCTTTACGGGAAGGTTTTGGTGTTGAAGTTTATAGCTTACATTTGAGGATGCTACTTTGAAAAGGAGAGGTTTTTAAGCTACTTTGACTTCAAGATGATGTCTTTAGAGATACCCAAATCTAATTTGAGGGTTAGCCGTAGAGTTAGATGTTACTAAAATGGTGGTTTGAAAAGTGGGTTTGAGCGCAAAGATGTAAACTTTTTAAGTGATTGGGATAGGTTCTTTGTTTATAAGTTGAATTTGGTGTCATAATGTTGTATTTGGAGCTCTTTGGTTAAGTAAGTATTGGGTTATGTTGTAGTGAGTTGATGAGATATTAATTTTAATCTGGTGTGATGTTTGCAGATAATGATATATATGGTGCGTGTAAATGGGCAATTTTGTGCGATTTAGCTGCCAAGAACGGTCTTAGTTTCCTTTTGGAGAATTTGTTGGTGGTGAAATTGAGTTGATTTGACATGGAAGCATACAGAGAAGAGGCTGTTAAAGCGAAGCAGATCGCTGAGAGAAGATTTGCAGAAAAGGATTTTGCAGGGGCGAGGAGTTATGCGTTGAGGGCAAAGTCACTGTTTCCGGATTTGGAGGGTTTGTCTCAAATGCTCACGACGTACGAAGTTTATATAGCTTCTCAGAGTAGGCGCAGTGGGGAAATTGATTACTATGGAGTTCTCGGGCTTAAACCATCGGCTGGAAAAAGAGAAGTGAAGAAACAGTACAAGAAGATGGCTGTATTGCTCCATCCCGACAAGAACAAATGCCTTGGAGCTAACGGGGCATTTCAGATCATATCTGAAGCTTGGGGTTTCCTGTCAAATGAGTTTAAGAAAAGCACCTTTTATTACAAAAGAAAGAAAGTTCTCGATTCCATGGTGGTTCAGAAGAACAGCACAGAGTATGCCCCCGCACCTGCAGGATTTGATTGTTGTCCACCAGCTTCAGAAAGACTTGATACTTTCTGGACTGTATGCACATCTTGCAAAGTGCAGTACGAGTATCTGCGGAAGTATGTGAATAAGAGGCTGTCATGTAAGAACTGCCGAGGAGCATTTATTGCTGTGGAGACTGGGCCGGCTCCTGTTAGTGCATCGATTCAATATGCACCTCCATCTCATACAATAAGTAATGGCTATGGAGGTCATGGTTATGATGCTGTTTCACGCATGCCTACCAATTCTACTTATTTCTTAGGACAGTATCCTGCACATGGATATGAATACGTTACAAATGAGTCATATGACTGGAGCTCATATGTGGGAACATCTCCTGCGAATCTGGAGTCAAACCGCATGTCATCAGTATCCAATGGATACCCTTATAAGCCCACCAATGGAGTAGCCTGTAGGGGAAGAAAAAAAGTTAAAGAAGGCCCTAACAGGACGAACTCGATGAAAGGCATGGCCTCTGAGCTGATTTATCCTAGCCCAGCCAATTGGTCTGCTGATCCTTCAGTTATCAAGGCCAGTAGACCTGAGAAGAAGAGGAATATTGGTTTGGTGTCATTTGGTAATGGATCTGTTGAGAACATTACAAAATCGAATCCAGAATCAAAAGCAACAAATTTGGATGCAAACATGGACCATGAGTTTAAACATCCTGGACAAAGTTATGGTTCAATGCGACGGTGGTCTTCTGCAACAGGATTGGATACACGGAAGCTATTGATTAACAAAGCTAAAACAGATATTAAGCAAAGACTAGAGATTATGAGACTGGCTTCAGAGGCAGCGGCGGCTACTGAGGATGTGGCTCCCCTTGATCAAATAAGTGCATCCTCCAAGGTAGGGGATGATGTATCCAGAATAGGGAAAACTGTTTCCTCTGGTCATCAATCTGTTAGGAAAATAAACGGGCCAATAACAGTTCCAGATTCCGACTTCCATGACTTTGATAAAAACAGATCAGAGGAGTGCTTCGAGGCTAGGCAAATATGGGCAATTTATGATGAAGACGATGGTATGCCACGCTTGTATTGCATGGTCCGGGAAGTACTCTCTGTGCAGCCTTTTAAGATTGACATAGCCTACTTGAGCTCCAAAACTGACATTGAGTTTGGTACAATGAAATGGGTGCAGTACGGGTTTACAAAGTCATGTGGACATTTCAGGATACGAAACACTGACGTAGTTGACCATGTTAACATATTTTCCCATCTCTTGAAAGGCAAGAAAACAGGAAGAGGCGGTTGTGTTAGGATATTCCCCAAAACCGGAGATATTTGGGCTGTGTACAAGAACTGGTCACCAAACTGGAACAACTCAACACCAGACGAAGTGAGGCACCAGTACGAAATGGTTGAGATCCTTGATGAATATTCTGAACAGTTTGGGGTTTGCATTGCCCCGCTTGTGAAAGTAGAGGGTTACAAAACCGTGTATTGCAGGAGAGATAAAGAGGAGAGCAAAACTTGGATACCGAGGAGAGAGATGCTGCGGTTTTCGCATCAAGTGCCATCATGGTTTCTTAAAGAAGAAACTAGTGGTGTGCCCGGAAACTGTTGGGACTTGGACCCAGCAGCTATACCAGAGGAGTTGCTTCACACCAGAGCAGGAACTGATTGACTATACCATTCACTGTGGCTGCAAGAGACAAAGAGTAAGAGCTTTATAAATATCAAATATAACGGTTTTTGACTCAGTGTAGAAAACCCAACTCTCTATATCCAAAAGATTTGTGGATTATTATGTCAGGAACTATATACAGGCAAGCCTCTGTTTGTTCATTAGAGCTGTTGTATTAGCAAATGTTGAAGAATCAAAACATAGTCATCTGACTTCTTGTTTGTTTTTTACTAAACTATATTTCCTGCTTTAAGTATTAACCTTTGTATAAATTGTAGCCAATGTCATTCTGTTTTCTTACTTGTCACTCTTTGGTTTCATCAGTTCGATTTCAATTTGTTTGAGACCAAGCAGTATAAACTTTGTCTTATGTTGAACCTGGTAAGAGATTAAGCTCTTGAGGGAGAAAAAGACAAATATTGAAACGTTGTCGGGAAAATGTCTACATCATGAAATTTCAAATTGTGGTCATTTTAACCATTAACTTCTTGGGTGACCATTAAAAACATAGACTTTATGTTGATTTTGTTATAAATGATAAAGCTTTTGTTGACCGAGCCAAAATGAACACGTAGTCAAATCCTCTAACAGACCAGGTAACCGACGTTAATTGATCTATAGTAGTCAAAACGACGTCGTTTTTGCTTTAAACGAAAGCAATCAATTGAAAAAGGAAAAAAATCAGAAATCGATCTTCCCCATCGATGCTTTGAATCTCTTCACTAATTTCGTAATCAACTTCATACAACCCAATCATCGTGAATTAGAGATTGTTGTGATTGGAGATGGAGCTGAGACAATAATAGTGGTCTTGTAATAACTATATACTAGGTACGGACCCGCGTTACAACGCGGAGAAAAAGTCTCGGGTTTAGTGGTGTTGCTAAATAGATGTTTAAGTAGTTTTTGAAAGAGGATACGTGTTAAAATTAGACAGGGTTAGAGGAAAATTAACAAATATATTGTATTATATAGAGTGTATACGTGTGTCTAAAAAAAATACAGTTTATACGTGTATAAAGTAACAAATGCATTGTTATATCTTGTTATATTTACATCACTATTTGTTGTTAAGGTAACAGTGCTACAGATACACTACATCGCAGGGAATTATTTATGTATACAGACGATTTATAACACATTCATTTTTATTTCATTGCAGTGTAATTGATTACGTTGAATCATATATATATAATTTAAGTAATGAGTTTAGATGAAATAGCAGAAGGAATAAATTAATATAATGCGTTTTGATACAATTTAATTTTCGAAGTATAATTTGATTTGCCTATTTTTTGTAGTAGAAGTAGGAATATACGTAAAAATTGTAAAAAATTTGCATACATAAAAATTATATACTTAGAATATTTTTTTTGACGGACCAACCAGAAACAGTTGCACTAGTAAAAATATTATTCATAACACACTTCACTATATAATCGTGAGTTTAACAAAATAGCCGTAACTTAGATAGTTTGATACATAATATAGTTTATTGGTAAAATTTATTTATTGATAAATGAATTTAATCAATATTTGAATAGTATATTTTGTGAATAAGACATTGTATAAACCATCGAAAAATTGATTTAGTCATCTGATTTAGGACCCGTAATTCACTAAAAGTGAATAATTTTTCTATATAAATTTAAAATTATATTTATGTAAGATCTGGTATTACAAAATATTTGGTTGTAAAACTTAAGTGGTATGTATCATGTCCTCACCCGTTGCAAGATTATCAGTTGATTTAATATATGTTCTGACCAATGCAAAATTATCAAATATTTTATATATTTATAATATTGAAACCATTTAAAAGATTTAATATTGATAATAGATGAAACTTTTAAAAGCCTTAATATTTATAGTATTTGAAACTTTAAAAAAAAAATAAAAAAAAAATTAAAAACTTTTGAAACTTTAATAAATCTTAATTTTTTTAATATTTTAAACATTTAATATTTTAACTATTATAATATTTTGAAGATTTTTAAAAGTTTTCATTTGCTCAAACTTAAAACCGGATTATATTAAATAAGACTTTTAAATTTAAATGCACTAGGTTCGGACCCGCGCTACAGCGCGGGGGAAATAATTACATATATATAACTTTTAACGGATTAGAATATGTTACATTTTAATTTTGTTAGAGTGCAGTCGATTACGGTAAATCATACATTTGTATAATAAGTTTAAATAAAATAATAAAGGAAAAAGCGAGTAAATAATCATATACTGAGTTTTGATACAACTAAAAACACAGTGAAAATTTAACAGCACGAAATAATATTTGTCGATAAATTATTCATTTTGACCATTTTTGTAGTAAAAGTAGGAATATACATAATAATTACATATTTACAATATATTTTTTGAAATTCCAACCCGTAACAGAATTCATTTCGTAAAAACATTATTTGTAACTCGCTTTATCATTATAATTGTGATTTTAACAAACTACCTGTGAATTATCTAAAATTTACGTAGTTTGATATATAATATATTTTATCAATAAAAGTTATGTCTCCTTAATTACATTTATGTCTTCAAAAAATATTTCAATATTTTAAATTCTAAAAGTTTTATATATTTGAACCTTTTATTTATAATATTTTGAAACTATTTGAAATTTTAAATATGCTCATGTAACAATGGTTTTAATATTGGTCATACTTATAATGATTTTAAACCATTGCCCAAATTATTTAACCTAGTGTAGTTGAGTATTATATGTCCGTTTTGAAAAATTCAAATTGCAACATATGCAAAAAAAGTTAAATTTTTATTAAATATTTATATTATATAGTGAAAGTAGAGTATTATTTAAATTATTATTAAATAATATCATAAATTAAAAATAATATCAAATAAACGTGAAAGAAGAATATTTTGTTTTAAAATAGATTGTATTAAATTAGTTAGAGAAATATTAGTAAATCCTATAATTAGTTATGGAAATAATACAATTCTAAAATTAGATTTGAAAAGTATCCGGTGTATGTATCCAAACCCATTAATCTATCCAACTTTAAAAGATCCAATTATAAATTTCGGGTAATTTTTTGAAATTGACCCGACCCGGAAGCACTTTTTAAGATTTTTAACTATTATAATATTTTGAAGATTTTTAAAAGTTTTCATTTGCTCAAACTTAAAACCGGATTATATTAAATAAGACTTTTAAATTTAAATGCATGTTAAATCAAGCTTACATTCATATTTTGACGCTCATTATATGAAATATTTTCTTAAAACACTTATTATTCTTCTTTCATCTTTATGTGATCTTATTTTAAATTTATAGTATTACAATATATAATATATTTGTTTTTTTCAATTGAGTAACATATGTCCGTTTTGAAATATTTAAATTGCAACATATGTAAATTGTTTTTTGAAATTTTATCATAAATTTGTATTATATATTGTAATATCCCTGTATTAGTAAAAGATAAATACGAAACAGTATTTTGGGTCGGGTTAATTAAGAAAATAATCCAGAAATTCAAATTGGATCTTAGATAAAACGGATAGTTAAATGGATTCGGGTTAGATCCATATATAGCTAAATTTTATGCTTAATCGTTTATAATATTGTGTCATTAATGCTATAATTGTCTCTTTAATCGTTTCTTTATTTGGCTTTCGTAAAAACGGTATCGCTAAATAATTAATTTACTCTACTGAAATATTCCTAATTGTTATTAGATGATTATATTACAGGATTGTATGTTGTTGATACAGTTAAACTAATTAGATATCAATCTTCAAACACTTTTTAAGAATGTAACTAAATATATTTTTAAAGCGTGAAATCAGCAAAATAGCCATATGTTTATGTAACAAATCATGTGATCACATATACGCATAATCTAACGCAGACCTATTGAAAGAATTATTCAAGTATACAGTATATTGCCCTCTTAATCAATTTTACATATTAAATTTTAATAGCAAAATTTAGTTAGTAAAGACATGGTACATTTATTATAATTTTTATTATAATTGTATTTATTTGTTATATTCAAATTTAACACCGTAGATTGAAATTTGTATAAATACCATATTTCCGTTTGCGAAAACAGACGACTTACATTCTACTGATTATAATATATCATCTTTCTTTTCACAGTTTGTTTTCGTAATTAATTAAAAATAATATCACATAGAGATGAAAGGAAAATAATAATTTAGAAAATATTTTTAATTAGTTAGATAAATATTAGGAAATCCGAAATTAGATATGGAAAAAATATAACTATAGTTACCTAAATATATGCAATAAAATTTAATATAAAAATAAAAATTTATGTTAATTAAATTGGACCTATCAAAGATCCAATTTAAGAATCCGGGTTAAAATTTTAAATGGACCCGACCCGAATCACAAATGTATTTCTCTTTTAATATATAGGGGTATTCTATCATTCACAGAAGAGATCTTCAACCCCCACGTGGCACTCTAAGATCATCCACATTGGTCATCTAAAGACTAAAGTGAGTGCCTTTAAATATCTATATTAGTATTTGTGCAAGCTTTTTGTGCAACATTTAACGACCACATTTATTACATTTTTAAAAAAAATTCTTTTTTTTCTTAAAAAGTACTATGTTGGAGGTTAGTTTCGAACATGTAATATGTTGATACAAAAGCAACTCCTTTACCACTAGACTATGTTAATATATTAGTATTATCATGTAAACCAATCAAATATATATATTTGATAATGTGTGACTGAAATTTTACCCTACTTAGCAATTTTACTACACATGTTAATGCATGTTAAGTCGTGTGTTTGATTAGACCAAATTCTAAAAGAAAAATAATTATTTACACTAATTTAATACTTCAAGTAATTTTTTCCAACAAAACAAATTGAGTATTAAACGTCCAAATAAAAGTAACATGGGATATTTTTAAGGATTGTTTTTCTTAAGCTGTATAGACTATTTAAAATATTACATATAAAGTTTTAGATATTATAAATATTTAAATTCTATTAAAAGTTTAAGTGTTAATTTTAACTCTATAAAAAAGTTTAAAATAAAGTATTATTGACCTTGCCATAATTTTAAACATGAGTTTAATTTCTCGGTCATAGGTTGTTATGCCAAATAGATATGGAAGCAATTATTACAAATTTTGGTAGTTTAAAAGTAACATTTATACATGGGTTGTATAACAAGACGAGTTTGAATCGATATTACTTTAATTTTAAACTCTATAGAAAATTTAAAAATAAATTATTGACAGTGCAACAAGTTTGAACATAAGTTTAATTTCCCGGTCATAAGTTGTTATGT